GTGAGAACGTGTGACATGATAAGATTTAGAATTTGTGACATAGCATGGTGGGAATGCGTGACACGACATGGTGAGAATGTGTGAGACGGCATGGTGAAAATGTGTGATATAGCATGGTAAGAATATGTGACACTATTGTGACATGATAGGGTTTAGAGTTATGACACGTCATAGAGGGAATATGTGACATGGTAAGGTAAGAATATATGACCCATGAAGGGAATATGTAGGATGACATGGTGAGAATATGTGGCACGGTTGTGACACCGCAAGGTTTAATGTTTATGACACACCATAGTGAAAATCTGTGACGACATGGTGAGAATGTGTAACACGGCATGGTGAAAATATATGTGGCACATCATGGACAGAATATGTGACACGTCATGGCTTAAATCAAATCCCACATCTACAAAAATTAATCAAGGATTACGACTTTTCACTTCCTAATTAAAAATTTCATCTTCGATACAATCCAAATAATATGTTTTATGCAATTATGCATTTTATTCTTAAAAGCCTAAATATTCCGTGTGTCTCTATGTGTGTATTTTATATTTCTAGTCTAAGTTAACAATATTCCATATTTTTTATTTACTAAATTAGGATATTACTTGGATCAAAAAATATGGGACTTAAAACTAAAACTCTCCTATCATACTGGTGGAGTTTTAGTCAAATCTCTCACTTAAGAAAATTAATCAAAGACTGCAACTTCTCACGTCCCTTGTAAAAATTCTATCATTGGTATAACCAAAATAGCACGCATTTTTTTATATTATTATCATGTGTATTTCTAAAAATGAAATATCCCATTATTATTATTTTTAAAGCCTAAATATTTTATATAGTATTTTATGAGCATCATCCTTAAGATTTTCCCTTTTACAGTGTTAACTAATTTAAAAGGTTACTTAAAAGTAAAACTACAAGTTTATTTCTTCTTTCTTATATACCTCTATGTATTTTATAAAACTAAATATTTCATGAAAAAAACTTTGCATTACACATTAATAGAAAACTAAAAAATAAATAAATAAACACCAAAACAAATATAAAATAAACTAAAACCAAGCAAACCAAGCCCAATAGTCCTAAGGGTTTAAAGTCCATACCGTGTGGACTTTAACAAATTCAAGATAAAGCCCTCATTTTCTTGCTAGAAAGCACCGTTTAGGTGCTCTTCTCATGGGCTTGCAACTTTAGGCAAGTTTCATGCGACACTATAGTCTCGTTTTCGGGAGACTAAGCAAGCTTAAACAAAATTCCTTGAAAAACGGCATGGAATGTGAAACAAATAAGTATGAAGAAAGAGATTGGGGAGAATAAGTAAGTATTATTACTCCAATGAGAAAAAAACAAAGTACCTAAAATCAAAGCACAAAGTAAATTGCTTGATTCAACAAACTTGATTTGATTGCCTTACAATGACTCATAAGGGTGTTAGTTATAATAGCCTGCTTGACCAAAACTTAGTGTGCAAGTAAAAGTAAATATGAAAATATCTAACCTAAACTTCTATGGAGTACAAGAAAAATAAAGTCTTAAAACTATGCCTCCTTGATGAGCAAATAATCAACAAGGAAAACTTTATTTTTGAAAAGTATTCTAATTGCCTTAGAATTCTTTGCTTGGTGGCCAAGGTAACAGCTGATGGACCCCTATATGTGGACTGGCTCAGCAGTCTATGCAAGCTGGGCTAGCCATGAATCTACAAACTGTGACATTCTCCCTTACTTGATTTAGGCAACGCCCTCGTTATCTCGTGTTCTCTTTCCACCACAAGTCTTCATCAAGTTCCCATAAGCGTTGTGGGTGTGTTTGAGGTAGTGTTTCTCCAATTGTCTCAAGAACACTTCTAACTTGGGATATGTTTTACCATGTGGATTTCTGACTGGTGATTGACCGGTGTCATCCAAGTACATGGCTCCTATATATGTAGTGTTTTCGTTTACGAAACACACAAGATTTGAGCTTGACATATAATAGTGTCAAACTCAACGAATCAAATCTTTTTTGCCCAGTAAAGAAGTAGTGGAACACGTCTTCCCAATACTTGCTTGCCATCAATTTATCTAACCCCACATTGTGGTGAATTAATAAATCCACCATGTTATGCCATCTTTTGTGAAGCTCATCGCTATTGGACCCAATTGCTCAACTCTGCCTTTGACTTATTCGAAGTTGCTCTACATCTCGTGATTGATAATCATCTCACAGCAAGATACATGGTTATCCAGTATTTATAAGATGTCTTCAAACTCGTAACGCTTCGTGGCATGTGTGTGCACAATTTCCCTGTTTGCAACGCTCACATTATCTTGAACCAAGGTGTTTAAGTGGGATGTGGTTTGGTCATCAATTGATGTCATTTTCTCTCTTAATCTTTAAATCGTGTGATACCTAGCTTTGGAAAGCATTGCTCTGATACCAACTATCACGAGCTTGGAACTTTAGCCAAGTTTCGTTTGACGCTATAGTCTCGTGTTCGAAAGACTAAGCAAGCCTAAACAAAGTTCTTTGAGGAACATGGTGGAAACATGAAACAAATAAGTCTGAAGAAAGAGATTGAGGAGAATAAGTAAGTATTATTGCTCCAATGAGAGAAAAATAAAGTACTTAAGATCTAAACACAAAGTAAATTGCTTGATTCAACAAACTTGATTTGATTGCCTTACAATGACTCATAAGAGTACTATTTATAATAGCCTATTTGACCTAAACTTAGTGTGCAAGTAAAAGTAAATATGAAAGTATCTAACCTAAACTTCTTTAGAGTATAAAAAAAAGTAAAATCCTAAAACTATGCCTCCTTGATGAGCAAGTAATCAACAAAGAAAACTTTATCTTCGAAAAATATTCTAGCTGCCCTCGAATACTTTGCTTGGCTACCAAGGCAACAACTAATGGACCTCTGCCAGGGGACTGGCTCCGTAGTTTATATGAGCTGGACTAGTCATGAATCTGCGAACCGTTAAAGCTCTCCTCTTGCTCCTCTTGTTGTCAAAACGGCATCATATTGATCCTCAAAACCTAGGTGTAAAAACATAGTTTCGTTCCTCTCTTTTCCATTTCTTTTACCTCTTTAGCTGCTCTCACCTTCCTCACCTTCTACTATGTTGAAACCCAAAGCTATATCCTTTAAAACCTTAAACCCTCGTCATTCTTTCACTCTCTTACCATTTAACAATGCCACAATCAACCATACTTTATACCTAGGTTAAACTTTCAAAAATCTATTCCCAAAAACTAAAAATATAATGTTAAACCCGAAAACGATACCACCCACAAAACAAGGAAATGAACTTAGATCTATCATTTCTACATAAGGGTTTTCATCTCTCAATTTTCATTTTCTCTATTTTTTTCTATTTGTTCTTGTGGTTGATGGATGCTAAATCTAGGTTTTTTGGGTTCTTTTAGGATCTTTTGTTTTTAAAGACTACTAAGGTGTTCAAGCATTTTTGTTTTCAAAAAATACTGTCCTAGGTGTTTTTTTCGCCCCCTTGTTCAAAATTGTGCATTGTTCTATTTATGGAGCAAAGGGTGCCGTTCTTGGGCACCCTCTGTTGTCAAGATTTCTTGCTTTGTTGACCTCTACCAAGTGCAAGAAATCGCCCTTGGTAGAAAATGTTTTGTCTTGATATGGTTTTTCTTGTCGGTTTGTATGGCCAACTGGCCTCTTGATGCTTCTTCAATTTTTTTTTTTCAGAATTTTCTTGTTTTAATCTATGTTTAGTTTGGTTTAATTATGTTCTTTGATGTGTTTTAAGTTTAATTAATCTGTTTAAGCATGTTTTTTGGTCATTTAGGAAGGCTTGGTCAATGGGTTCAAAACGTAAGGCCCACAGTACATTGAAAAAGATCCAAGCAAGGCCCGGGCCTCATCAAAGCCTAAAGGGTTCATGGCATGTGCCACTTTCAATCCAGACCCAATACGAGCCCACTGAACATATAAAATAAATAAAAACAGAATAAAGAAGAAGGTTTAACAAATAAAATAAAAATGACAAAAAGATAAAAATAGAAATAAATCAATAAGTGAAAATATGAATGGGATAAACATAGGTGTCTGCAGAAGGCTTTCAATTCATAACAAACTTAAAAAGTTGACATCCATTTGGGTCTTTAGTGAAGGGTTATTTTTTACTTCTCGCAGTTTAAAGCGCAATCCAACTTAGCCGTGAAATTTCGGGCCACAATGTTGCTCTTCATTTCTTTTGACTTGGGGAAAAGAATGGTTACCATTTGACGAAAATTAAATATTTATTTAGTCAATTTTTTTATTAAAAACAATAAAAATATCCATCAAATTTAAATAATTCCTTGACTAGCCCACTATTCCGATCTTGCCCACTTGTGATTAATTACCTAATCCTCATCCCAATTTTTCTGCATGCCTAGAACTAACCTAAAGTGTTACTATTTAAAGAATTAACCTATAGTAACCATAAAATTATAAATATTTGTAGTGCACTTCTTTCTCCTTTCAGTTAAAAAATTAAATGAGGTGTCAATTTCAGTATATCATTACATAAATCCTTTCCCGTTTAGTTTTCATTTTTTTTCTCATTATTTTTATATTTCTTTAAAAGATTTCCTATATAAAAAATGTATATTTTTTATTAAAAGTATATATAAATAATGAAAATACAGCATCAATACGATCATTATTGCTTTATATGAAAACAAGATCATTGTTTTGCTGTTTGATAAAAGTGAATTTGTTTATTAAATCAGTATAAATGTTTGACAAATGTTTTGGCGCCTAAGATATCAAATTTATGAGTTGGCAAAACTCTTCAAATGCAACAAGTGTATCTATTTTCTTGTTAAACATGTCCGAGTTCAAAGAGTCAAAGCTTAGGAGAACATGCCAAAAGTCAAGACTTACTCATCTTTCAAAAGTCAAAACTTCAAACAAAGCGGCTGCCCATTCAAAAAACCCATATTTATAAATTCCCATGGCTCGCATCTATAAATGCCCATTTGCATTGGCTCTCAAATCACAGAACAGAGTGAAGCCAAGAGGTTATAAATTCCCAAAAAAATGTCGGATTGCAGTGGTAAGCAATATTTTTCTTTTTAGCTATAAGCTAGGAGGCATGATATTCGCTAAAGTCTTAAATCTATTTCTCACATTTCATTGTGTTGGTTGTTCATTTTGTGCGTGAAAATCAGAACACAAGCAACCGCTTATCATGTTTACGCATCTGGGTTTTGGTAGTAGAATTTTGAAGATTGAAGTTTGAAACTCCTGGTCCTGTCTGTCAAGATCACATGTGCCCACTCCCCAGTAGAAACTGCCTAGCACAAAAACAAATGTGAAAGCAATAAGTTATTGATTAATTGATTGTTTGAATTAATGTTTACTGACGTTAGATACAGGCAAGAGTTCGTGGCCAGAGCTGGTGGGAGTGAATGGGGAAGCGGCAGCAGCCATCATCGTACAAGAGAATCCAAAAGTTGGCGCTGTAATTGTGAAAGAGGGAATGATGGTGACCATGGATTTCCGTTGTGACAGAGTGCGTGTCTGGGTCGACAAGTATGGAATTGTGAAGCAGACGCCTCAAATTGGCTAACGCTACTGTTTGCAAGGATCAATAATGCAAAACGTTAACAAGCTCAGCTAGCAGTACTACGTACACTAATTAACATATGTCCACTTTGTACTATTTCAATAAGTTTACCATTGATTGTTAATTTGGAGTGCATCAAAGCTGAACTAGCATTAATGTAACATTGACAAGTGTAAAATAAATTACTTTGTATATGGACTTTCTTTTTGGCTTGTACAACGTATTAATGTTCAAGTTGAAATACTGATGATTGATGCATCCGAATAGAGTTGGGTTTCAATTTTTTTTTTCTTTTTTAAAATTAATACAAAAATGGATGTTTTATAAAGTAAACTAAAAGACTATTAAATCACCAACTAGTGACCTCCCAAAATATTACGCAATGTAGTGCCGTTGATACGATCGAGAAAAGCTCCAAAACAACACTTGAGGAAAAATATTGAAAGAGGAAACTAGAAGTGACTCGATTACGATCACTTTGCTACTTATACCAGCCGAATGATAAAAGTAGCACCGAATACACAAGTTTTGGAGATATAAGATGTTACTATCAAGTTTAGTATAATTAATAGTACGTGCCTTGCTTGTGATATGTTTAGTATTACAGGATTTCCTATAGATTATATTAACTCCCAACAACATTCATCATTAATTGCAGCTCTTTACCTTTTAATAATTTTTATGAATTATGATTTAAATTCTTAATCTTCGTTTAAAGAATTGACATTTTTTAGATAAAATTGAATGTTCCCGTCACGTGAATCTGCCAATGGGAAAAATCCACGTCTGAGTCATAGTGGCATGTGCAGGGCCATATGCGAAAAAGGCGCAAAATCGTGCAGGTCGTCTGCCAAAAGTCTCCAACTTCAATAAAAGCCACTAATTCGACAGATAAATATAATATAATTTATTTTTGAATTATTATTTTATCCATCAAAGCTATATGATAATATTTTATACTATTCATAAAGTTTAAAAACCCCGTTAATGTAAAATACGATAATTTTTAAATATAAATGAACAAAAAGGAACTCTACCATAAATTAACCTCAGCACATTTAATTATAATTAAAAAACGAAATAGCACATCTCCTTTTTCGCAACTAAAATATCCACTCTTCTATTACATTAAAAACAGTATGATTAATTAATTATACTCTTTTTCCCTTTACTTCTGTCTTTGATAGTAGTATAATACTTTTGTATAACAAAAACAATTTTAAGAAAATAAGAAAACTTTTAATTAGCTTTAATAAATGATACTAACTTATTTTGCTTAATCGAAATGAATCCTAATCAACCAAACCATGTCTACGAATAAAACACATAATCCAACAGTAATCATTGGACTTTGCAAATTTAATCAAATATATTAATATTTGAAAGTAAAATGCCACAGTGAGATGAAATAATCATATAGAACTACGCATCCAGGATTAATATATTCCCTTGACCTCTGTTTCATCTAATCGAGCTGTCCCCTGTCCTCAACCCTGACTGGGAACCCACCTTTCATCTTAGAAGTCAGATAAACAAGAAACTCCGGCTGAAACCCATCCTCCACCGCGGGCACCACCTTGTACCGCCTTAGAACACCAGCCACCACCCTTTTCATCTGCAAAAAAGCCATCTCCTTCCCCAAACAAATCCTTGGTCCTGCCTGGAACACTGGATAAGTATAAGGATCTCTCCCAACAAAGCTCCACTTCCCTGCCTCATCTCTCTCCAACCATCTCTCTGGCTTGAAGTCTGCCCAATCTGATCCCCATATTTTCTCCATCCTTCCCATCGCGTAAGGATGATACGTCATTAACGTTCCTTTCTTCACCACCGTCCCGTCCGGTAAAATGTCGTCGTCCATTGCCAGCTTGCTATCCGCAGGGACTGGAGGGTACAGTCTCATGCACTCGCAAAGAGAAGCATGAGTGTAGACCATGTCTTTAACTTCCTCAAACACTGGCATGTCCGATTTGTCTTTGATTTCTTTGAGAATTTCGTTTTCAACTTCAGGGTGTTTATGTACTAGCCAGAAAAACCATGTCAAAGCCGCGGATGTTGTGTCACGGCCAGCAAGTATGAAGCTGATTACTATATCCGTAACGAAATTCTCGTCAGAATGGCCTGATTGCAAGAACCTTGATAAGAGATCAACGGATTCCAAAGAGGACTTGTCAGCTAGTTCTTGTTTCTTTTCTCTTACAATCTTCTTTGCAAAGTCACGGACTTGAAAGACTGCAATGTTGAGTCTTTTCTCGGAACCAATATTGAAAAATCGCTTGATTTTCCAGGCTATACTATGAAAAGTACGGAACCTCTGGCTACTTAAGTTAGTAGCATCTTCAAACGCCTCTGCAAACTGTGCCTGTGGTAAAGAAGGCAACAAGCAGGCAGGGTCGAACCCGAAAGCTATCTTGCACACGTTATCAAAAGCGAACCTCTGAAGAATCTCTTGCAAGTCAAGCACAGTCTTAGCGGAAGCAGCTTCAGAAAACATCGGAATCAAACGGTCATGAAGCTCGGTATCGACAACAGTTTGGACAAACTTACGAAGAGATTTGGTGTTGAACTCGTGGCTAGAAACTTGTCTCTGGAACTTCCAGGACTCCCCATCGACGTTGAAGATACCGTTGCCAAGGAAATCGAAGAGAGTGCTTCTGGAGAAAGGGCCTTTTTGGTAGTTGTCGAAGTGGGTCTTGAGTATGTGCTGGACGTTGGCAGGGTTTGCAGTCAGGATCTGGCGATGACCAAACAAGTGGTGGAGAGTGAAAGTTGCAGAGGGAGAGCTCTGGAGGATTTGAGTAATCCATTGCATGCGATTGCTTTGATTGGATTTGACGGCAAAATAGGAACCGATTATCGGATAAGACTTGGGAAAAATGGACGGAGACGGGGGTGTCGATGGTTTCTTTGATTTGGTGATGATTAGGAAAAGAAACGGGAGAGCGAAGAGAAACAGCGAGGTCAAAAGCTGAATAAACATTGCAAAAATGTTTTTAATTTTACTTAGCAAGGGCTAGGAGGGGGCTGACAGTATCCTTAGAAAAAACTTGCATGTTGTATATAAGGACGGGCCTAACCTTATATATTGGTCAAAGGCCAGGAAGTTGCTAGGAACTTGGGAGAAAAGAAAAGTATAGAAGGCTGAAAACAGTGTGAATGCAATATTTCAAATACTCTGGAATACAAGTCATGTAAGGTTACTGAAAGTTAAGCTTTTTTTGGAAGTTCTTTTATTAAAAATAATTAAATTTTAAAAATTTAATAAAAAATAAAAATACTAAAACTAGTGTTTAGATATGAAATTTGGCTAATTCTTGCCTCAATCTGGTGTCTTTTAGTTTCATTATGGGATTTGGTTTATACTAGAATAATTTTTATAATTTTGTGGGCAGGGTCAACAGGTATATGGTACGACTAGTTATGCTATTTTAGGAGGTACATGAGGCATGACGAAACGCCGATGAAATTTGTTGTAGAAAGTTCTACACAACGAGAAGAGGTCTATAATAGTAGGTCCTGGATACAGATAGAAATGGAACAAAAGATGCGGCTCGTCAGGGCAACCGTTTCGAACACCGTCGAAAGCAATATCAACCGTTTGAGTAATTGACTTGTATTCTCCCCTGGACTGGATGCTTTCAACTCGAGTAATCACAACTATTAGCCAAGTTTTGTTCATTTGTTTTGATTTGACTGAATTTCAATAGTTAAAAGTTGAATACAACTTTAAAAAACAAATCACATTTCGGCTAAATAGTTAGCACTTTTATGTTCTTCATATTTAATACTAGTCAACTGTACACCTTTTGCCATTTTTCATTCCAAACAAAGGCAAATCCACTTGAGGAGATAAAAAAATGAAATAGTTATTATATAAATAATATCTTTGTAATAAGAACAACTACTATAAGTTTCTGCTAAGTGGCTAAATTGCTGGGGCCTAACTGTTGGACTCTTTGAATCGGCTTGGGGGTTGAAGGTTTCAGGCCTCTTTTTTGCTTTCATGTATCAAAGGCACATGTGTGAACAATAACCTTCATCTTCTTCTAGATGTATTATTATTATAAAGGCCAGGAAAGGATATTTGGTGTTATAACGTAAGCAAAGTCGTCACCAAACTGCCATTATCACCTCGGCCTGAGATTTTCAACTTTTCATAAAGGGCTTTATTAATTATCTTCCCTTACCCAATCTTTACCAAAAAAATAAATAAATAAAGGAAAGGGTATGGCACCAAGTGACTGAAAAACAATAGTAAACTCCTCCAGCTATTTATATTGGCATCTTCTGAATTTACAATTGATGTAGATTGGCTACTGTGAAGTGTGAACAAACCTTCAAAAAATTGTAAATAAGGTTAAAACAAATTTATCAACTTTACAACCTAGTCACACAGTGCTCCAAAAATACCACAAATGTAACCCCTGCCAACCAATCAAAGAATGAAACCCACCAGGAGAGTAAAGGAAGAGGGAAGTAATTGCTTTTACAGTTTTACTCCCATACCTGATCACATGAGGTGGTTCCTAGTTTGTGAAACCTGATCTTTGATAATTCACAATTTCGTGGTAGGCCAAGAGATACTAGTTCCTGCAATCCTTGTATCAAATTTCAAGCGGAAATACTTTACTTCTGCTTCCTGCTTGTTACCCTCAATCTGGGATGTATCTGAAATATGTATATTTGTGAATGATAAGCTATTGGATTTCACCAGAAGGATAATTGATAAATGCCAAAGAATACAGGATATTACATAAACACTTGCAAATCTCGGAACAGAGATGGCAAATGTTGTGAACATCTGAAGCACATTCAGACATGATACTACAAACCCTAATTTCTCACAGATGGTAAATAGATACAGAGACAGTCACTACGAGTTATCTGTCAGGCACCTACTTTCACTGCTTCCTGTCATCCATTCCTAGTCAAGCAAAAATTACATTCCACATATCTGGCATTTTTCTTTGTTAACCTGATTATGTACGCAGATATATTACCATACAACACTGATTTTTACAGAAGCAAAATAAATGATCAGCTTAAGGTGCGCAACTCACATGAAACTAAACATACATGCAGCATCATTAATAATCGAGAAACATAATAGCAATTTCCAGTGACAGTCAATCAAGACATGCAACAAGTTTATACTAGATGTGCAGAATCTCCACCTAGAAGAGACTACTTTTTGGAAGAGATATTTAAACGTTAATAGGAAAAGAAATAATTGCAATTGCAACCATATCTGTAGCATGCTTACCTTGCAATGACATGCATAAAGCTCATGAAACAGACATGTTCCTACTCCTTATTCCAAGTTTCCTCAATTCTCGTAAGTGATGAAGTATCTCTTGAATAAAAAGCATCCCCTCGTTTCCATTTCCAAGAGAATTTAGAGAATGCTCAAGAAAATTACAATCAGCCTCAAGTGCTTCCAGCCTCTCATTAAGGTCTGAAATTTCATTTTCAAGAGCAGCCAAACCAGTTTCTCTACAATCCATAGAATCCTTTTGCCCATTGGAAACCATATGACTATTTCCCTCACTAACAACTTGATCTCTGCTTATTGAAGTATTCAACCCTTCCTGAGAAGGAGCACTTCCATTAGACACTGATGAAGCTTTTTGCACTGACAAATCATTACCTTCCACCTGACAAGGTGCTTGTTTATCCATTTCATCGAGGAACTCTTGTTGATGTTGGCCTCCATCTGCTGCTTCATCAAAGTATTCACCATCAGATATGCATGGCGAATTCCCATGATGAGCAAACCTTTTAAGTTTGCTTTCCAAATTTTGCAGACAATGAGAGATGTACAACTTCTCATCTTCAAATTCCGACCATGCAGATATGACTGCAAGATTATTATTGACTTCAGAAGCCTCATGAAACATTGTTTTCGAGGGAAATTTCAAATCATCTTTTAGGAAGGACGTACTTGTATTCTCCACAGAAACATGCTGCTCCTTTAACTTGATGCTTGCCTCAGGTACAGTCTCTACCAATGTTTCATCTGGGAAGTTTAACCTGTAATATTCAAGCTCTGCTTCCAGATCTTGTAATTCTTTCTCTTTCTCAGCCAGAAGATCATTAGCTTTCTCCAACGCATCTACATCGTATTCTGCTTGCTCTTCCATCATCCTTAGGTACTGCAGGGCCTCCATGTGGAGCGCTGCCTTCTCTTCTTGTAACCTTGTAATCATAGCCATTGCCTGATTTGCAGCAATTGCAGAAGCACTTCTTTCTTCCTCTAATTCCCTATTCAATGCATTCATGCACTTCCTATCATATGCAACTTGCCGCTTCAGCCTATCAACTAGATTTTCACCTTCAATTTCATTGACGTTGCTTCCATCAAAAGATTCGAGGCCAGCAAATTCACTTCTTTCCATAAAGACTGGGTTCTGATGATTATGAGCCTCGTCAGAGTTGGATTCATTAGTTCTTTGCAATTCAATACTATGACCTCGTAATCTTGGACTTAAATTGTTCAATGATAAATCAATCCCTTGTCCAGAAGAATTCTGCACAGGCAATGACTTAAGATCTTCATTAACTCCATTATTGTATGTCAGCATAGGTTCTTCCATGACGAACCCAGATGTGTCTCTTTCTTCACCACATACAGGTGACTTATGCACAGCACTCAGATCCCCATCAGTTGAATTTACCATGGCAGTATCAGCTACAACTTGATCAGTTCTGAAACCAGACACAGTTGATGTGCTTATCAACTTCAAGATTTCATCATTCTTGTTGATCGATATATTTTCACTTGCTTCAAAAACATTTGCCACTGTCAATGGTTTCAGGTATTAAGTCATATAAGAATAAGACCAATACACACACTCATACAAGAGAAAGAGAGAGAGAGAGAGAGAGAGAGAGAGCTTACATTTTTCTGACGATGCTTCAAGAGGAACTTCAGTAACATCAACTGATAGGGGAGCATCAACTAGAGAAATAAGATCAGACAGTAACGAAGCACTGAAGCTTGGAACTTCCACAACACAGGATGATGGAGGAATATCATCTAGAGAAATAAGCTCAGGCATTACAGGAGGATTGGTTTTCTGATCAGCCAGCTGCTCTTTATACTCACAGACATCATTCTCACCAGGGACATCTGAAGCCAGACATCTAACATCACGTGGTTCATTAGCATCAGGCTCTTTTGTTGTAGCCAAAATATTGGATAGCCTTTTAGCTGGGGCTTCAGGAGCAGAAAGAACTACAGATTCATTCCTATTCTCATTTATATCACAAACTATACTATTGCCATTCTCATCATCAGAAATAGGAACCTCAGACTCTGATCCAGAAGTGATTCCCAGCTCAGTGTATCCTACATGAGACAAGGGATCAAATCCAGTTTTTCCAAGAAGATGAGATGCTGCCGGTGCAGAAAACTTATCCCTTATCTTCTTCAAGCCATTTCGACGGCTTAAGCGACGTGGAAAAGGAATATTTGGCTTTGAAACCACAATGCGCGGTGATTTTAAGGCGAGTAATCTTTGGGCATTTGGTCTTGGAATCCAAGGTTTATTACAACACAGACACAACCTTGTGCCTTTAGAAGCAGGAGTAAGATCCTGGTTGAAATATGAGCTCCAGGAACTACAATTTCCACAACCTGTAAGATCAAACCCCAATTTTCCTAGAAAGAGCCTCTGCATACCTGAGTTGGATTTGTTTTCCTCACTGTGTGATGAGAGACAAATCTCACACATACCACGGCCATCAACAAGCTTGCCATGAATGTTGCAGGAAATCAATGATGATATCTCTGATCTATGATTGGTGCAGAGTAAATTCCGATAAAATCCAGGTTTTTCATTTCCAAAAATATGATCAAGCCGAGAGCACAAAATGCAAGGTATTTGCAATTCACAGTAATGTGCAAATCTTGTCAGCAGGTAAGATAAGATGGCATCAACAAACAGCAAAAAGATCAGGAACCATTCACAAGCAGCAGTCCTTAGAACTGTTGTAAACCCCTTCAAGTTCCTTTGCACTTTGGGAGGAGAGGTACCATTTGTAGCCATTTCCACCACAACTGCTCTAGGATCCCATAAGTTTCAGAACTTGATGAATACCAAAAAGCCTTAATTGATGCATAAAGTAGTTCCTAACCTTGCAATACAAAGCTGAGAATCCCATCCCCAATTCAATAAGGTAAGCTTCCATTACACGGTTAAAAGAAACAATCAATCAAGTCAGCAATAGCCCACATGAAAAATAAATAAATGCAGAGCTAAGCGAACTTTTTAAGCTACCAAAAATGCTTAAGGAATAAAAATTGACAGAAACGCGTGCAGAAACTCACACGTACAAAGAGCATCACCAAGATGGTATTCTTCTTTTCGACTCATTGGACACGAAGAAAGATAACAATAACAAACAGAAGCCATGTTTAAAATGTAAGAAATCACAACCAGAGCAAACCCTCTCACACGTTAGCAATCAAGTGAAATTCTCAAAATCCTTTGAATGGTTCAAAAAATAAACATACTCGAAGGAAGAAATAAAAATGGTGAATTTCTTAATAACAAATAATTAAAGAGGACCTGTTGACAGTTTAGAATTCAATCAGATAGGAAACTGTAACCAACCCAACTGTGCAGTGTAATGATTGGGATCAACCAACATTGATAGGCAGACAGCTTTTCAATTAAATTGAAATTAAGGACCAAAGACCTAACCCATTAATGTAATAAATAAAACCCAAATGAAATGAAAGAGAATCCAATCATCAGATCCGTAGACACAGCCAAAACAAGACCGTAAAAAGCCTTATTTTCGATCACCAAATATTAAGAACAAATTCACAAATGCAATTCCAAATATTGGGTTCATGTTGAAACCTTGAATTCAACACAAAAACACCTGCGCATTTGATTTAAACGAGACTAGAAGAGAAAGAATACCTTACAGTGGATTGAGATGAACGATGATGATGATGAAGAAGAAGAAAAAAAGAAAATGGAAAGTACTTTTGTCCGGGAAAAGGACTGACCGTTGAAACCAACTGTTGTGATTTGTTTGCTTCCCAAAAAAAGCAAAGCTTTAAAATTGTACTTTTTGGTTTGACTATAATAAGCTTTCGCACAAACCATACTTCTTTTCATTTTTTGGCCTTCTTTTACTCTTAATGATTATACAGAGAGATGCAAAATATTTTTAACATCGAAGTGAAATTATCTTATTAAGATGAAGAGACCATAATAAGAAACTTTGGATTACTAGATTGAACAGGGGGCGCGCGAACGCAGGCCCCGCTGCCACAAATTGTGACGTACACTCTCCCACGTAGGGAGATGTTAAGCTGGCGAACTCACCAAGTGCAATGTGGGCCGCCAACATAGGCCACGGGCCGTCTTCATCGCCTATACGCCCCGTCCTGGCAAGTGAGTTTAAACGCACACCCTGATTTATATTTTATAAGTTCTTCCTCGCAGTCGCCCCATTCTGCGCGGTGTGGATCAATAACCATACACAATAAACCCACACGTCTCGTTGATGCTGGAATATTTGGTTTTCTATCCAAGTTTCTGAGACTCAGTGAAGTGCTAGTTAAGACTTGTGGGTTGTTTCCTAATGAAAGGCTTCTGGCGACCCTTTGCTGTAAGATGAAGCATTTGTGCTCCACATGGCTTTTACTAGTTTCATTTAGAAATTCAGTGAGTGTTGTTTTGGGTTGATTCAAAAATGGGTTTTTCTTTTTTTTTTTTCTTTCTCTTTTTGCAGAGGCTTGGCGTTAGGAGTTATTCGGTGTTAGGCTATGATCATCTGAGAATTAATGGGGTTGAAGATGTTATTGCCGTTGCTTCTGGTAAAGGCGGTGTTGGCAAGTCTACCACTGCAGGTATTCTATTTTCTCTGATACACGAGCCGTGTCCTTAGGATATGCATTCATGTCAGTTGAATTTTCAATCCTTGCAGTTAATTTGGCCGTTGCACTAGCTAACAAGTGTCAATTGAAGGTGGGCTTGCTTGATGCTGATGTGTACGGGCCATCAGTTCCAACCATGATGAGAATCAACCAAAAGCCAGAAGTTACTAGAGGTAATTTTCCATCTTCTAAGGACAAATTAGTGTAGTATACGTCTTTAGTCAATCGTAGAAAATGTCCCTTTTGCTTTATTGGCTGACAAGAAAATGTCTAGTTGTATATCAGTTGCTTATCCATTTAGTTCCAAAATGTTTTAAGTAATATAAAGTGTTACCTGAGAGTGTTTTAAAAGTTTTTCATTGCAGATTTCATTTGTACAAATCTGATAAAATATATTGGGTCTTCGCTGATCAACTAACATATGGTTGAGGCTCATTTCCTTTTTTTAAAAAAATTTATTTATTGTGATATAGGATGTTTGCATTCTTTAGTTATAAACTATGGAAGTTCCTCCTCTTTATCTTCCACAGATTTGAAGATGATTCCTATTGAGAACTATGGAGTGAAGTGCATGTCAATGGGATTTCTGGTGGATAAGGATGCACCGATTGTGTGGAGAGGTCCCATGGTATGTTACATTATATTAGTTGTCTGTTCTTATTTTCTTTCATTCTTGATGGTTTATGCTTCTCTTTTGCAATAACTTCTGCTTACAAAGTGGCTTGATTTTAGGAACATAGTCCTTCATCTATGTCATCTTAAATTCAGCAGAGTAGAGAAAAAGGATTTTGTGGCCTCCTTCTTGGCTTCAAATTGAAGCTCTGTTGACTTGACACTTCTGCAGTTTATGAGTTCTTATGTTTCTTTCAGGTGATGAGTGCTCTCCAGAAAATGTCAAGGGAAGTCGATTGGGGAAGTCTTGATATTCTTGTGGTGGATATGCCACCTGGCACAGGTGATGCACAACTAACTATGTCCCAGAAGCTTCAGTTGTCAGGTAGATAATTAACTTTTAGTTTTTGTTTTTTTTTGCCCTTTTGGGAAGAAAGGGGCATTTGGTGCTATACTTGAAAATTGGCCTCAGATCAAGATCATTGTGAACTTGGACTTGTCATAAAACATAAAGTACCGCTATGGCTTCATAGGTGTTCTGGTGTTTAGCAGTCTCACCTGTGCTCTCTCTCAGGCCTCATTTAGATGACTTAGAGCTTTGTGCTTGTATTATGCTTTTTATTTGATTTCTTTGATAAAGTTGGAATTGTTTTGACATAACAGTAACTTGAATGAGAAAAGTTAATATTACTTTCAGGCATCACCTCGTCTCAATTCTTTTTTCTGGAGAAAAGATAGGGATGAGGATAATGGAGGCTAAAATCATAATTACTTTTGTTTTCCAAGATCAAATTTCAAAAGGAAAACTATATCATAATTTCCCTCTTCCCCTGTGGTAACCTAAAATTCACACAAGGTTTACCTCTTATAGAAATTGAGCTGTTTACAGTTTATAAGAAATAATCAGCTCAAATTTTTATAAGATATAAGCAGCTTAATCTATATATAAGACGTAAACAACTCAATTTCTATAAGATGTAAACCTGGTGTAAATTTTAGGTTATGACGTCTCGTCAACTCTCTTTCCTTCCTAACTAGCCAACCACCCAACACTCCAAAAGAGAGAAAAAGTAATGAAAATAAAGAAGACATTTTGAGTTCCATTTTTTGTATATTGTTTTACTTCAAAAACTTCTTTTTGATGCTTTGTTATCATTGCTGGTTTGCTTTTAGGTGCTTTGATAGTTTCAACCCCGCAAGATGTTGCCTTGATTGATGCTCGTAGAGGAGTTAGAATGTTCTCTAAAGTTCAAGTTCCTGTAAGTCATTACGTTTGCATGTATTCTGTTATCATGCCTGCAAAGCTTGTTGAAAAATTTTGTATGGTGCCTAAATTTAGCATTGTTCTATATTCTTTAAAGGGCTAGATGGTATGAAGGGTTTTTACTATGATTGCCCTAATACCTAGGACTGATACCTCAACTGCATGTGATATAATGTAATACATGTCAGTTAAACTTGCCTTCTTTATTGATGGGTTTATAGAATTTAATTATTATTACTTAGTAGTTTAAAGTATAAATCAGCATGTGGGTTAGAAATGTTGCTGCCTGCAGTGACAGATCCTGGTTTTGTGAAATTCGTTTTGGCGTGTGTATATCATAATGGAACTGCTGCATGACAGGCCATGACTGCATTAAGCATAATTCCTAAGCTCGTTGGGCATGCTAATACTGTTCTTGCATGTGTCCCCTTCAGTTCACACATCTTCCTCGTACTGCAGCATAGTTGTTTTGCTATTACTAGAAATTTATGTTGGTACCTCTGCCCTCTCCACTATTTCCAGAGTTCAACTCTTTTCCTCCTGATTGTTTTGAAATTCTGACTGCTTTTATAGATTTTGGGATTAGTAGAGAACATGAGCTGCTTCAAATGTCCACACTGTGGTGAACCTTCATTCATTTTTGGGATGGGTGGAGCTCGTAATACAGCGGCTGAGATGGGTTTGCAACTTCTTGGTGAGGTAAGTTGTTGATTTGTGATTGTTCTGCAATAAAATTAATGATTGTCAATTTTTTAAAGCTGGTCCCTATGATGCTTCAAATCACCATACTTGTCAGGCTTGTTAATACTAGAGAATCATTTTAGATATGTTCTAAGGTCATGGTAGTTAAATGTTCCTAGTGATTTTTTTCCCCTCTTCAGTATTATTAGAAGAGGCCGATAATGATTGATGATGTGGAACTTTATATGTGAATGGATGAAAGTCAGGCCGCCACAGTTAGGGAGGGGAGAATTAACTTTATTGCTTTCTTTACTAGTTATTTGAGGGAAAGAAAAAGGATTTTGGGCTTTTTACTTGCTTGTAGGCAGTTGAGCACTTTCTTTGGCCTTCATGATAGCTAATGTATATTATAAAAGGTTGAAGTCTGAATTTGGTGCTTCTAACTCTCTCAATTTTGCGGATTTAGTCCCTTTACCCTAATTTAAATGAATTTAATCTCCATACTTTTATTAAATGTTGATTAAGGACAATTGTTAATGCTGGTTTTGTTGATGACATGACATGTTAACTTAAATTTTTTTAACATGTGGCAAACATTAGCACAGAAGATTTTAATTTTGATAAAAAAATATTAGAATTTTTTTTAGAATTTTAAAAAATATTTAAAAAACTTATTTTTAATAAAAATACTGAAAATTAGTTGGTTTAAATTTTAAAAAATATAAAAGATTTTTTAATTAAAATAAAATATTATTTTTTTAGATTGATCTGTGTCTAGCCAAAACAATTGATCCACTTCAACAATGCCAAGTCAGACCAAAATGCTACATCATCCAAGTTAAAGGTAAATATTAACATTGATATTATCAATTTTTCTTTCAAAAAAAGTGCAGGGACTGAATTCATTAAAATTGGAATAGAAGGATTAAAACTGCTGAATTATAATTGTAGAAGGACCAAATTCAAACTTCAGGCTATTGTAAAATATAGCTACTCCATATATGTTCAATGCCGCGACTATATATGATACTTTGTTGTCTCAGATACCCATTGAAGTGGACATTAGGAAAGGTTGTGATGAAGGCATACCAATAGTGGTATCAGCACCTGATTCTGTTATCTCCAAAGCTTACCATGATGTGGCTCAAAATGTTGTCATGAGACTTGAGGATTTAGCAAAAAAATGAAACCTAGCTCAAGGGACTGGACCAGTGGAGTTTATTCAGGTGGTTAGTTCACTCAGGTAAGGTAAACCGCCTTCATTGTCGTGGTTTGTTGGCCGTATTTACTTGGTGGTGGTGCGTTTGAGATTCTCCGGAGACCCAAATTGTATATCAAAGATTTCAGTTTGAGGTTTTTTAAATTGTATATCAAAGCGTGGAAGCATAATGATTAAGAAACTAATTTGGATGTTGCACACTCAAGCCAGTTGAGTTTGTCATTAGATAGCTCTTTTGCGCGACGGATGGAAATGTTGAGCCCTTCATCTGCCCCAACTTTTCTAGTAATAGCGGGCACATTTGTTCATTTTTTCTTGTAGTTGTTCCATGTTGAAACTCGCTGGTGCTAAAATGATTTAAAGCTTTGAAATTAATCTAAGAATCTTACGCATTTGTAAAATTTTTTGTACATGAGCTTTGAATTGGACAAATAGGCGAAGCTGTTGATGTAGAAATTGATGATCCGTTGGATGTGGTAGTCCACTCTTGTCTTGAGTCTTCGTTCTCACCTAATGTGGGCATATATTCTGTCATGATGGCCACTCTACCAAAGAAAATCACTGCTACGTTTGTTCTTCTAAGGTTCCTAAGGGGACATGGGCTAAGAAAAGGAAACAAAAAATTAGCTGAGTGTGAACCCTTTTTCAAAGGAGTAAAAAGAAGTATCATTGAATTTACTCCTCTCCACCAACTTTGTATGCGAACTTTTATTTATTTATTGGGGAGTTGAGTGATGGATAAGAGAATTCCAGGGATCCCACATATGATAGAAGGAAGTTGAAAGATAGAACCATAACGTCAAGTCGTCAAAGAGGGAAAATAACATCCTTGGCCATCCCCTCGTTTCTTCGTTTCCTTTTCCTGAAACCAGCTTTCCCCCTTTAAGCATATTTTTCTTTTTATATTTTTATTTTAAAATCACACTATCCCAATATTCGATTCTCTCTCAACTCCCCCATTCATCAGCATCGTCTTCTTCTTCTTTCATCTTATTTTTACTACTCATCAGCTGAATGCATCACCAATCCATAGCCTTAAAATCCCCCCAATACCCTTTCCCGCCCCTCCTCCATCCTCCCAACCCTATCCCTTCTCGCCTCGTATTCGCCCCCATTTCCTTTCCCCTCCATCCCAACACCACCATCAACTCTCCTCGCTCTGTCTTCTGCTGCCGAAATTTCCATATGCCAGTTCCCAATCACCCCCCTCGCTCTCCCCCCTCCTCCAACGCCACGAAACCCTACGCCGTCAAAACTGTCGATGTCGCCACTCTCGGCAACCTCTGCGTCGATATTGTCCTCAATGTTCCTCAACTACCCCCGCCTTCCCCAGACGCTCGCAAAGCGTTCATGGAACAGTTATCCCGTTCTCCTCCTGATAAGGTAAAAAACGTTACTCTTTTTTAAAATGGGTTTTCTAATTTTTTGGGTTTTATGGGAAAGCTCTAATTTTTTTTTATGGGTTTTTGGGTTACAGCGATATTGGGAGGCTGGTGGGAACTGTAACATGGCTATAGCAGCTTCAAGGCTGGGACTTAACTGTATAACAATAGGTCATGTTGGTAATGAAATTTATGGGAATTTTCTTCTAGATGTGCTTCATGATGAAGGAATTGGTATGGTTGGAATGTGTGACGAAACTGATCGTGTTAACAGTCCTATTGCTTCTTATGATACCCTCTTGTGCTGGGTGCTTGTTGACCCTTTACAAAAACATGGCTTTTGCAGGTAAAAAAAATTGTCTTTTCTTTGTTTTTCAATAAAGGCCATCAATTTTGGTTGAGAAAATGTTCGCTGAAATTTTATGTACTATTCTGTTTTCTTTTATTAGTCGGGCAGATTTTAGTAAGGAGCCTGCGTTTAGCTGGATGAGTACACTTTCCGAAGAAGTAAAGAGAGCAATTAAGCAATCGAGGATCCTGTTTTGTAATGGTTATGACTTTGATGAGTTTTCTCCTGGTATGTTAATCTCAGCTGTGGACTATGCGGTTGAAGTTGGCACATCAGTGTTTTTTGATCCAGGGCCACGGGGGAAGAGTCTTTTACGTGGGACTGTGGAAGTGCAAAAAACACTCAGGCATTTCTTGAGGATGACTGATGTCCTTCTTCTAACATCTGATGAGGTTCGTTGCATTTCTTTTCAAAGAATGACTGGAAAATTTTATTTTATTTTTCCTTTTTCTCTTGTTTGTTCCTTGCTTCTATATCTATTCAAATGCTGTCATATATCATGTTGCAAATGATATCGGTGTAATCATTTTAACTTTCTGAAATTGCTTCACTAAATCTTTCTTAAAGTTTAGGCAATATTTTCTCTTTCACTATGTCTTTTCTTGCTGCATTTCTTCTTTCTTGGTGACTCAGTTGTCTTTTTATTATCTGAGCACCTTCAATTTGAACTTGCTAGTCCTCCTTACCGCACATGTTTTGATTTACATGCCTGGATCATCTCAACTTTCTTGTAATCACTGGGAATGATTGTTGGGCATCAGTGCTCCTCATCCTTAGATAAATGTTTAACTTGCCTGCAACCATTTACGTTTGGATCCCTGTTGAAAGTATTTGGCCTTTACGGTATCTGATGTGAATTATATCTTTCTATCTAGTAGCTTTATTGGCTGTTTACCTAAATAGTAGTACTTGCATTAACGAACTTCCAGGCCGAATCATTGACGGGCATAGCAAACCCAATACTAGCAGGGGAGGAGTTGCTGAGGCAAGGAGTCCACACTAAATGGGTGGTGGTAAAGATGGGCCCTAAGGGTTCAATTCTGATAACCATGTCAAGTATTACTTGTGTGCCTGCATTTAAGGTAAATTATAGCCTTAACTTCATTTTATATCCAAATAAATAAAAGGTTGCAGTTGTAAACTGAATGTTAATTTATGGCAATCCCTTGAATGTATTTTCAATTTGCTTTAAGCTAGGATGCTTCTTTCTATTTCTTGAATGTAATTTTTTAGCTCATGGATGCTGTAAAATATGATTGACAAAAGTTTTAGGTATTGATGACACATTTGCATGTTTCTCATTATTAATCTAGATCATGCACATTTAACGTGTCTAGTTCTCAAAATATGAAACCTCTGAGAAAATTTTCTTGTTAGTCGTTACCTATAGAAGTTAAATGTGACCTCTCTTTTGAATTTGGTCGTTCTAACCTGTCTGGCTTCTTTCCACTATTTATATCTTTGCTTATGCTAATTAATTATGAAATGTGATTAGGTTAAAGTCATGGACACTGTCGGGTGTGGAGATAGTTTTGTTGCTGCTATTGCATTTGGTTTTATACATAATATACCCTTGGTTACTACATTAGCGTTTGCAAATGCTGTGGGTGCTGCTACTGCTATGGGTTGTGGCGCTGGCAGGAATGTAGCAACATTGAAGCAAATAGTAGAACTCATGGAAGCACCTGACCTCAATGAGGATGATGAATATTGGAATGAGCTACTTAGTGAACATTTGGACTCACAAGAAGTTACTGTTCTCTCAAAAAAGGTTTTAAATGGAAGCAATGGCAGGATGAACCAAGTTCCATTGCAAAGGGTGGTTTCTGAATTGCTGCCTAAGCTTAAATCTAGTCAATTAGAGGGAAAACTTTCATGTTGATGCATTGCAACAGAAAGTAGTTTCTCAGCAACGGTACATGTTACATAGCAATTCCTTGTATGGATTCTCTGGCAATACAGAACAAGTTTTATGAGTTAAATCATCTCAATGGATTGAGATCAGGATGAAGTAGTTACTAGAAGAAGATCCTCAGGTGAGAAATAATGCCATTGCATAATTTGTGGTTATGAGCATTTTTAGCGATACCTTGATAGATTTATTTGTGCAAAGCTGAGAGCAGCTTTCACGTTCTTATGTAAAGATGTTTCCCCCCTTTTTTTGTATCTTTTCATGTTCGAAATAATTGCTTCTAAAACAGGTACCACTTGTCTCTTGTGCTTTTGTTGTGATTGTGGTGCAATTTTTACCGCATCTATTAAGTTGTGATTGTGACAATAAGTCCATTTGATACGATACACCAAGGTATTGCTTTCCCTAACAAAAAATGTAAAAGAAGAATATAATCGAGATTTCCTTATAATCCATTCCTGACTGAAAGTTCTGTTTTCCTCTTTCTTCCCATATAAAAGGGGTGCTTAAGAAACTATGAAAGAAGTACACATACTCGAAGTCTTATTTTCATATTTTATAATCAAATTATAAATGTAAATGAGGATTTTGTAATGGAATATTTTCGATTAATATCTTATAATCGAAATTGAATGCTTCAAACTTTCAATAAAATAGAGAATTGAATACTTTGAACTTCACATTCTTGTTCTAGTAAGATTCTTGGCTTTATAGGGCTATAAAGTCGTCAAAGTTTATGCTACATTCCAATTAAAAGAAAATAGAAATGTAGTAATTCCCTAAAATGAAAGTAAAGGCAACACAGAAACGTGATAAATAAACGAGATATATAAAAGAATAAATTAAAAAAAAAATTCTAAAAAACAAAATTGAAAAGCCTAAATCAAGTAGGACCCACTAATTGCAAAGGCGGCGAGGCAATAGGGAAGCAGCGGGGGCAAAGAAAGGTACGTGGGGCCCGCAATAGAAAATTCTATAAAAAGGCTGGGGTGATTGGGGGGCAAGTAGGATGACCTAAATACCCTCTAAAATTGGCTAACCCTACTTCAATTCTCTCTCAACATCCCAGCCTAAAACGGCTGCCCTTGTACCCCTGCAATTACTCGCTCTTCCCCTCCTTTGCCCTTCCCCTTTCACAGTTTTCCCCCTTAACCCAAACCCCGCCAACTCTTAAACCCTTCTCTCTCTTTCAAATTTCTCAATACCCTGTCTGCCCTGCCTTCTTCTCCAATTTTAATTCACATGTAATCACTAATCACCCTTTGGTTTTTTCCTTTTTATATCCGCATTGTTTTATTAGAACCTACTCTGCCCTTTTCGGGTTTTAACTTTTCTTGTGCAGGTTCTCTTGAAGACTTATCTTCCGGTGAGTTTTTTTTTTTTTTTGTTTTTCGTCTGTTTGGTTAGCTGAAAAAAAAAAAGAGGAAGAGAGACTTTGTCGTTTTAAAACTGATGTTCCCATGTTGCTTTTTGGGTACCTTGTCAGCGCTGGAAACTTGAGCTAGTTTCCTTTCTATTTTTTTTGGAAAAAAAGGAAAGAAAATAGAGAATTGGGATTTGGTTGGGTGTAATGTTTATTGTTTATGAGTGCCCCACGTGTTGAGTTCTGTTGTGTTGGATATAAAGATCAAACTGAAAGCAATTTGCACTTTTTTGTTTGGTTGCGCAGAAAAACTGCGGTTAAGTTTCCCTTATGTCGCTTTGTTTCTATTTTAGATGTATAGGCCGTATTGGGTTCTAGTTGCTATTGTTGAGTTCTTTCTTTTGTAACTCGACAGATTATAAAAAAAAAAATACCTCTGCTCAACTCTTTTGTTGCTATGATCATGGTTTTACTAAGGTGGATTGTCCCCCCTCCCTCGCTTTCCTTTTAATCTTTGAAATCCATGAATCAGAGGAAAACGCGAGATTGTTTTTTGTTGTAATTGTATAAGAATCAGTAATTGATATCCCAAGGAAGTATCACTATTGAGCAACCTAAGGGTTTTCTAATGCTACTGCAACAAGCTTCCTGTATACTTGACTTTATATCATGTTTAATTTTTAAGTTATGAAAAATAAATTGTTGATTTACCAGTACTTTTTACAGGGACAGGTCCTGTTTGAGACCAAAACACTCTCAGATTAGAGCTTCCTTTGGGTGTTAGTTGAGATTTTGCTTGGATTTGTGAAGGGTTTGTGGGCTATCAGTTGTTTTAAGTTATGGCGAAGCATGAGTTGGTGATTAGGCCAAATCAAGATTTCTCCTTGCGGCAAAATCAATGTGTGGGAATAGGGCATAATGCCAGCTTTGTTCTGGGTAGTAGTCATGACTTGTTACGTGCAGAACAGATCCGTGATTATGATTTGCTTATCGGGCCTTCTCCTGATCATGAGTTAGGTTCAGGACATCATATTCATGAATTGGCAACTGGTCAGGTACAAGCAAATGATCTAGCTCTGCAACATGATGATCTTCATAAGTTTGAAGAGAATGGATTGAATATGGATCAAATAAACTACCCTGATGCTAAGGAAGACCATACCAATGTTGAGGAACATGATCATCAACTCCCTGTTGTTGCTCAGAATCATGAGTTTGGTTTGCGGGATAATAATCAATTGACTCTTGTGGAGAACCAGGATCTTCAGTACAACTTAAGTTCAGATATGCAGCAAAATCAGGAGATGAGTGTTCTATCCGCATCAGACATGTGTTCTCAACAGCAACAGCTGGTAGTTGGTGCTCCTGTGCTTCAATCCCGTCCCTTGTTTCCAGTGCCTAACTATGAATTAACTGTTGGAAAAGAGTTTTCTGATGTCCAGAGCTGTAGGAGGGCTCTCAGAGATGCAGCCATTGCTCTTCGCTTTGAGATGCAAACAATAAAGTCTGACAAGACTCGTTTTACTGCCAAATGTGCAAGTGAGGGATGCCCTTGGAGAATTTATGCTGCAAAACTTCCCGGTGTTCCTACTTTTACCATTAGGACCATCCATGATGAACATACTTGTGGAGGGATTACCCACCTTGGTCATCAACAAGCCTCAGTTCAGTGGGTTGCAGATGCTGTAGCAGAACGTCTGAAGCAAAATCCTCATTATAAACCCAAAGAGATATTGGAAGAGATTCACCGTGTTCATGGGATCACTTTGTCATACAAGCAAGCATGGAGGGGTAAGGAACGCATCATGGCTGCTGTGCGTGGCTCTTTTGAGGAAGATTATCGTCTCCTTCCACAGTATTGTGATATGATCAGAGAAACAAATCCAGGAAGTATTGCCCTGGTATATGGGGATCCTACCGAAAACCATTTTCAACGCCTTTTCATTTCATTTCAAGCATCCATCTATGGTTTTCTGAATGCATGCCGACCTCTTATTGGACTTGATAATACTAGATTGAAAAGCAAGTACTTGGGGACCTTGCTTTTTGCCTGCGGTTTTGACGGAGATGGTGCTGTGTTCCCTCTTGCATTTGGTGTGGTCGATGAGGAAAATGATGCCAACTGGATGTGGTTCCTCTCTGAGTTGCATTACCTGCTCGAGATTAATGCAGAGAACATGCCAAGACTTACCATCTTATCAGATCGACAGAAGGGTATTGTAGATGCTGTAGAAGCGAACTTCCCAACAGCTTTTCATGGGTTCTGCATGCATCATCTCATTGACAGTTTCCAAAAGGAGTTCAACAGTTCTGTTCTTATCAACCTTTTCTGGGAAGCTGCTTTTGCGCTCACTGGCCTTGATTTTGAAAAAAAAATCATTGAGATTCAAGAAATCTCTCCTGAAGCTGCTACTTGGATTCGAAATACTCCTCCGCGCTTTTGGGCCACAGCACATTTTGAAGGGACAAGGCTGGGACACCTGACGGCTAACATAGTGGAATGTTTGAATTCTTGGATAGCAGAAGCCTCTGGCCTTCCAATAATTCAAATGATGGAGTGTATCCGACGGCAACTGATGACTTGTTTTAATGAGCGGCGTGAAACAAGCATGCAGTGGACAGGCATTCTTGTTCCTCCTGCGGAAAGGCTTGTATTGGAGGCTGTTGAGCGTGCACGTACTTACCAAGTGTTCAAAGCAAACGAGGCCCAATTTGAAGTTGAATCGCATAATGAAGGGGCATTTGGAGTAGATATTCGTTCCCGTAGCTGTTATTGTCGTGGATGGCAGCTACGTGGGCTCCCCTGTGCTCATGCTGCGGCTGCTCTCCTCTCTTGTAGACAAAATGTGCGTAGGTTCACCGAAAGTTATTTCACAGTGGCAAGTTACCGTAAGGCATACTCCCAGACAATACACCCAGTCCCTGATAAAGCCCTCTGGAAAGAGATGTCTGAGCAATTTCTAAAGGAAGGGGAGAAAGACGTTGAGTTCCTCTTAAAGCCACCCAAGTCGCTTCAGCCGCCAGGGAGACCTAGGAAGAGGCGAGCTCGTGCAGAGAATGCTGGTCGGGCAAAACGGGTGGTGCGTTGCAGTCGCTGCAATCAAGCCGGGCATTTCAGGAGTACATGTACAGCACCTATGTAGATATTTCAGGTCTTTTTCACTGTGCAGACGGAAAAAATAGTTTTCTTCTTTCAAATTTTTTTTAGAGCTGCTATTGTTAGCGCTACACTTTAGGAGACACAGATAAGAGTTCGTGTTCATAGGTTTTCTTTGGACAAGTGAATAGCTTAGTAAGTTTTATATGGATAATTATAGGTGTAGCTCCTTGTTTCAGGTTTTCAATCCTTTTAGTTTTCAGCATGCTATCAGCTCCAGACTGGCCAAAACAAACAAACAAACAAACAAACAATTTCAGCTCAAGTCCTTATATCTTATTTAATGACAAAAAACGTATCCAAGTATTAAATCAACAAATTACATGTATAACTTACCTTTATCAACACGAAGATATGAACCTCCAGTATGTTATGCTTAAAAAATAATAATAATAATAATAATAATCAAGGGAAAGGATTCGAGAAAATGTTGGGTCCCCCGCAGCACGACTTTTCATGACTAATAAACAGCCCTTTCATTTGTATCGTCTTCCCGCGTTAGAATCTTTCTACATTGGACGCGGCGAGGGACTTTACACAAGTGTGTCGAGTGGGTGGATCCTCAAGCATTCACTCGACCTTAGGTCGTGGTGCACTTCCAAACTTTTGACTAAAACGCAATAACAATTTGCATTCTGCAAGTTCAAAACACGTTATCTTTAGGAAAAGCCCCACCTGAAATTTACAATTTTATCCTAAACTTTAGAAAAGCAACAGAAACCAGGTTGGCATAGGAAATGAGAACTCCCTGGACTGGGGAACAACAAATTGAGTCAAACCAAAGTAAATGCAGATCGGGACTACAAAACATCCAACCCCAATGATATGTTATTATCCCAATTACTGTACTCAGTGCCATAGACTGAATCATAGTCTCTAGCTCGAGAATGGCTGACATGACCTCTGGCATCAGATCAGAGGATTCACATGCATAAACAAGAGCATTTGGCAGGAAAGGATTACACTCCTCACGATTGCATTGCATGCATAGAGCTTGCAGCCTCAGCCATAAAGTTCTGTATCATTCAACAAAAGAGAGATACATAAGATGACAAGATAGAGCATTGGTGATCACAACTCATTGTCTGAAGGACCTTAGAAGGGGCAAAAAAAAAACAAAGGAAACAAACAAGGTATTCTGTTTTAAATACTGAACAAAGCTGATGATATGTTGTAGTCAAATAAAAGATTTGAAAGGTTTGTGGTTGAAATGCTAGCAAAAAGTTGGGGGGGGGAGGGGGGGGGTGTTGAAAGAGAAAGAGAGCGGAGAAGCAACTCAACATAATAGTAGAGCTAGTAAGAATAATAATATTCGATGCCACTGTTATACAATCCCAACTCATCAACGCAAGAGTACCTGTATCAACTTCTGAGCTGCTTATACTTCAAAAGCAGACGCAGTGATTTCTAGAGTCATATACCCAGGCAAATCTTTTGTTACCGGTAATGCTATCGCAGCTCCACTGGCACAGCCCATATAGCTTTTATTTGCACCAGAGGTCCCATTCACCGCATTGGCATCCACCCTTCAATTTTTAATTTTTTTATTTTTATGTATATAAAATTGGAATATATAATTTTGTCATTTCTAATTAAATTAAATAAATTATTCTTAATACATGCGCTTCAATACGAAAAAGTTTCATTAAGAGTAATTTTATTTTAAAATTTTTTCTCTTAATTAAAAATAACTAGAATTAAAAAAATTATTTTTCAAAATATTATATCTTTGAGGGTTAAAAAAACTCTCAAATTGAAAACAAAAGAAAGGAAGGTTGGTGGGCTTTGCTCGGAGGCCGAACACATGACCATGGGGGTTTTCAAATTGGGTCAAGCAAGTGTAGAAGATGAATATTAAGTGGGCCATGACAATGGACAAAATTCGTCCCATTTCACATGTAAATAACCAGATGTCTCCCTTTGCCATACAAGGTAAAAACGAGATCCTTTTGAATAAGATCAATTGAAGTTCAAATACCTTCAATTGCGAAGCCTTTGTTCCCAGTCAACTGATATATATAAGCCAGGCTTTGAACCCAGAGTAATTTATATCTACTTCTTCATTTGCTAAGCCTTTGTTCCCAGTCAACTAATGAAGCATTTTACTTAATTAGAACATCAATCCAAGGTAGTTTACCTTCTTCAATTGTAAATTGTGGTGTTTTCTTTTTCATGATTAATAATTACTTAAATAAACTACAATATTAGCACTTATAATTATGAATCATGAGAATTACTTACTTTCTTACTTAAAAATACTATGTGACATGTTCATACATATAAATAATTAACAATGCTTCATTCTGTGGTGAAAAGAAAACAAAAATATCAAAAATTTTATCTAAAGAATAAATGCCAATATATTTAAACCTTCATATGCTTCATGTCATTTATATATCCAACAAAATAGTATTACCTTCAAAAAAAAAAAAACAAATGTAGTAGACGTAGAAAGCCATTTTTGGCCTTTTTGAAACTAGTTGACTAAGCTATGATTACATTTAGGAAATTAAGCTGTCGGCACTCATGCCTTATTCGCCTATTTCTACTGCGTTTTTTGTTCTTTTTTTAAATACTATTTGCATGATATATATATTTATATATATTATATTATATTAGGCATCCGAAACACCTCCTACAAACTTGTAATAATAACAAGAAACATTTTCTTGAGCATTTCCCGCAAAATTATCTTCTTCCTCTCTGGATATATATTTTGTCAAGTTGATATTCACAGTTGGATTAAAGCTTTCATGTAAAACTTTTTCTAAAAACTGATTATGTCTATTTCCTGTCTCTTTTGCCTTTTTAATTGCGGCCCCATGTGTAAAAGAAAATGGAAGAAACACATGCTGCCATGCAAATGCAATAATTGCTTATCATCTCCAGGCCCTCTTGGATTCAAAGGTTAAGATTTCATTAACCTATTTTCTTGCTATGAAATGCAGTGAATGCAAATGAGACTAGTGAAAATGCTGACATGCAACATCCCATGTGGTTTTGGATATGCATAATTGCAAAGTCATATATTTTGAAAATTGGAATGCAAATGTCCAAAGTCAAATTTTGTGGGAGCTTAGGTCCAAACCTATCTATTTTTGTATCCAAAAAGGCAAATATCTTAGCTATGTTGGAACACAAATCAAAGAAAATTATGTTCAAACTGCGTAAATGTTGTTGTCTTTAAAATTGTATTCAACTATTTAAAAGAGTTAATTGACGTATAAATCATAAAAATATAATTAAGCTTATTGATTGGCTACGTTTTGTACTAACGAAATCAATCCACTAAACAGTTATCAAAATATAACAAAATTATCAAATTTCTATAAAGTTTTTCTACGACCAAAAACTGAAGCAATCTAAAAATAATTTAGAAAAAGTGGAAAAAATGATTGCAAATTGTTTTTCTTTTGTCCTTTTTCATATATCTTTCGGAAACCAAAGAGTCTTATTTATAAGTAAATATTTCTCTTCCCAATAAACTTAAAATATTTATTATAATAGATAATTATCTATTTTTAATTTATTTTATTTTTTAAAATATTAATAATTAATAATTTATTTTAAAATATTTATAATTGATAATTTAAATATTAATATTTTATTTACAATATAATCATTAACATTTTAAAATATTAATATTTTATTTATTGTTTAAATATTATTATGATTAAAATATTAATGATTTTAATTAATTTTTAAATTTAAAATATTAATTGTTTTATAATATATAATTAAAGTCTTAAATTTTTTTTTTCATTTTCACTTATGAGGAGCATTTTTGTCTTTTTAATTTTAGAAGTTATTCCTTATTCATGGAATAACAAATACCATGGGGACTTGGTATCTTTCTCAAGCAAGATACCTTGAAAATTAAAGAGTTTAATTACCAATTTAGACAACTCAGTGCTGACTAGAATAGCAACCTTGAAGCACCTTTCACTAAGGAAGAAGTTTGTTTAGCCATTCAATAGTGTGACAGGAACAAAGCTTCCAGCTAGGACGACTTCAACATGGAGATCTTTAAGAAACATAAAAAAAGAAATCCTTACTTTTATGGAAAATTTCTACAGCACTGAGAAATTCAACAAAAGTATAAACTCCTCCTTTATTACCTTGGTTTCAAAAATAAGTAGTCTTACTTCGTTCTCTCACTTCAGGCCCATAAGCCTTGTAGGTTGCATCTACAAATTTTAGCAAAAGTTCTTTCTATCAGACTCAAAGCGGTGATCAGATCTGTCATTCGTGAAAACCAATTTGCTTTTTTCAAAGGAAAGTAGATTCTCAACTATTATTTAATAGTTAACGAGTCCATTGACTCTATGAAAAAAACCAAAAGAAGCGGTCTTTCGCTCAAAGTTGATTTTGAAAAGGCTTTCGATAACGTTGAATGGGACTACTTGGATTTAATCATGCAACTCATGGATTTTGGTCCAAGATAGCGAGGTTGGATTAGGCAATGTGTTACTACTGCCAGCATTTCAATTCTTGTGATTGGCACCCCTACTGCTCAATTTTTTGCTCAGAGAAGACTCAGGCAAAGATGCCTTCTTTCCCCCTTTCTCTTCAATATAGTAGTTGAATCTCTTAGCATCCTTCTTAGCAAGGCTAATAATTTGGGAATCTTTGAAGGAATCAAAATTGGGAGCTCGACATTGCTATTTCTCATCTACAATTTGCATATGACACCTCACTTTTTTGTGGAACTCACTTTGATCAGATTACAAATATTACAAAGATTATACGAATTTTTCAATTCAAGGCTCAAAATCAATTTCTCTGAAAGTTGTCTAATGGGCATTGGTATTGATGATTCTTTGTTGAGTTCTTGAGCTTCAATGATCAATTGCAAGGTGGGAGGCCTTCCCATAAATTATCTCGGGTTATCATTAAGAGCTAATCTTCTCTCTACGGGCACTTGGCAACCTATCATTGACAAATTTAATTCAAGATTAGCTGGCTGGAAAGGACAATTTCTCTTTATAGGAGGCAAGTTTACACTTATCAACTCAGTACTCTCAAACCTCCCTTTCTATTACTTTTCCATTTTCCATCTTCCAGCCATGGTCAAACAAAACCTTGAAGCTATTCAATGAAACTTTCTCTTGTCTAGTTCTTCCGAGAAAAAGAAAGTTCATTATGTCAACTGGTCCACTGTTAGTAACCCAAAAACTCAAGAAGGATTGGGAATCAT